CACCCCCCGTATCCCTCCCCCGAAACGAGCACGGATCCAGCAAACTGCCCGCTTGGATTCACTCCGTTCTGTTCCCGGTGCTGGAAACATTGGAAGGCACAGTGGTAACATTGTAGCATTCTAACCTTGTACCTCGGAAAAAATCCCCGGAAAAGGGGGCAGCGGGAGCCAAGCCTCGGGAACGGCGCCCCTGCTATCTACAACACGACGTGACTGGCATCATTATTATTATTTTACATCGTTTTTCTTCTTCTTTTTTTGTCATTATTTTATTTTGAAGTCCTGTGTCCCCCCGAATGAACCGCAGAAACAACTCGCTACTGATTTCGTGACCGGAGACAGAGTTGGCACTACAGGCTGCGAGAACGAAAAAAAAACCAGGGCAGAGGGACGGAAATAAGACCAAAAAATCCTTATTTACAGTAAAATCTTCTTCTTTAAAAAAGTTAATCAGTACTATTTTTTTACAGGAGCAAAAAAGTCTGAAACAAATGAACAAAAGCTTACCATATTCACTAAATTTTAAATATATATTTATATATATATTTATATATATATATTTGTCATAGGTCTATAAGATCCATCTGTTCCTCCTACCCTAAGGAATGGCTAATGTCATCGCTTCAGTTTTCATTAGGACGTTTGCTGGTTTTGTAAATATCTGGGCAGCAAAGCTTCCCTTTCATATCCAGTAAGTATAAACACTAGCTGTCTAGCACACCAACAAAAACGCTCAGTTTTGTTTTTTTCTTCAGAAGTACACTTTTTCATTATTGCAAGTTTACAATTTTAAATTAAATATTTTTTTCAGACTTACAAATTAATTATAGTTTTTTTTTTTCCAAAAGAAGTTTAGGCACAAATGCATTGTCCCACAGTGTGGAGAAGATTGCCATTCAGTCTCTCGGCTGTGCATCTACAGCTCGCAACATACTGCTTTAGACATTCTGAATGATATGTTAAAGAGAGTCGTCCCTCAAGTTGCACTTTTTGTGTTGGTTTGTGGTTTTTTTTGTCGCTTTTTGTGTTTTTTTTCTCGTTTTTAATAATCGGGAATGCTGAAATCTCTTGCGTCTGTGATTCTTAACTACTCAGACTTGTCTTATATTACAAAAAAAGGGGTTAAGGAGAAGTGTTTATGTGGGTTTAAGATAATACAGCTGTTAAGGAAGTGGTCTCTTGTTTAAATGAAGAAATGTGGCAACTTGGACCTGCGAAAGAAGTGAAAAAAAAGTCAAATCAGTCAAGGATAGTTGAACATGAACAACTACAGCCTCTTAAACCAGGGATTTGAACTTGGCCTTGGAAATCAAGTGTACTTGGTAATGGTTTGGGTAAAGTGGGCCTGTTCCCCCTACTTAATTCATGCTTGGTCCTGAGGAACCGTGATGGGAAGGAGGAGGAAAGGAAGAAAGAGAGGAGAGGAGAAGGAGGGAAAAGCGGAGGAGGAGAAGGAGAGGACAGGAAGGAGAAGGAGTAAAAGGAGTAGGAAGAGGAGGAAAAGAGAAGGAGGAAGAGTAGGAGAAGAAGAAAGATAAGGAGAAGAATGAGGAAGAGGAGGAGAAGGAAGAGGAGGAGAAGAAGTAAGAGGAGAAGAATGAGGAGGAGGAGAAGAAGGAGAAGAAGGAGGAGAATAAGAAGAAAAAGAAGAGGAGAAGAATGAAGAGGAGGAGGAGAAGAAGGAGAAGAAGGAGGAGAAGGAGAAGAAGAAGGTCCTGCGCACTAGCTTTGCCCCAGCTCCTCGTACCACTTGCCTTTTTTACATCTGTCCCATGTGATTGGAGGCATCTCCCATGCCCGGGTGGGGACCCGCCAGGGAAAGCGGAGGAGGATCTGAAGATACTTTCTCTTCTTCCCTTCTTTTCAGACACGCGGCTTTAGGGTTCAGGTTTCTTTCTGTTGGATGGGAGCAAAAGGCAACCTCAAATATGCGTGTTTGGGCTTTGCAAACCAGCCAGGGCTGAGGCAGGTTGAGCTCTTCACCTTCAGCATCCCACAGAGCACCCCAGAGGAGGAAGAGGAGGAGAAAGCAGCGTTTTCAGTCCCATGCAGAGCTCCAAGGCTGCTTGCACACCATGGGAGCAGCCTGGACCATGCTAGCATCACGCTTCTCCCTTCCTGGCCCCATGGAGCTCTATGGGAAGGCCATGGCTCTACAGGAAGGCCATGGAGTTCTACGGGAAGGCCATGGAGCTCTACAGGAAGGCCATGGAGTTCTACGGGATGGCCATGGAGCTCTACGGGAAGGGCTGGAAAACCTCCTTTCCAACAGCCACGAGGCTTTCTCTCCTCAGGTGCCTTCACCCACCAGGCAAGGTGCCAGCCACCTTCCAACAGCAAGGCCAAGGCTTGTCTCCATCCTTGGCTTTGACGCCACCATGAAGGCGTTGCCAAGTTGCCCAAAAAGAGCATTTTGCCCCATCGAAAGCAAACGCGGAGGGGCTAAAGGCCCCAGTTGTCCCACTGACCTCTGACTTGCTGCTCCAAGCTGAGGATGACGGCCACAGCCTGGTGCAAGATGAGCAGCTTGGTCTGGGGCTTGTCGCTCTTGAGGTGGAGCTGCACCATGCGGCCCAGCTCCTTGAAAGCCTCGTTGATGTCGCGCACGCGCAGGCGCTCGCGCGCGTTGTTCGCCATCCTCCTCTCCTTCTCCCGCTCGGCCTTCTGCTCGGGCGTCAGGTCTTCGTCGTCGTTATTGCTGCGGGGCACAAGGGAGACACCATTTTCCAACGGGGTGGGGAAACCGAGGCAAAGAGCAGCCCCAGCACCTCCAATATTCAACAAGTTTCTGCGGCAAACAGGACAATTGTGGCCAGGAAACCTAGAGCTGAAATCCTGTGGCCATTATAGATGGTCTTCTGGATAAGGGAAGCCTCCTAAGAGGTCCTAAGAGGCCTAGTGAGGTCAAAATGGAAATATGAGGGAGCTACAGGGCACAGGACAGCCATGTCCCTGCCCATGTCACCTTCAGCAGTGTCACACCAGCTCCGGAGCAAACATCTCCCAACCTTGGACTCAGTGAGAGGACCCACTGCTCCGTGTGACGCCGCACATGGGGACATGCAATGGCCATGGGCAAGTGGCCACTGAAGGACTTTAGGGCTGTAGAGAGCCCTGCCGTTGATTTTGCACCTTTTCTGCAGCAAAAATCCCTTTCCATACATCCAAAGTCACGATTAGAAACTGAAAACGTAGTAACTAGTGAGTCGCTGGCACTAGGTAATCTGGATTGGTTATGCAAATACAGCAGTGACTTTTCAGCAGCCCTGACCAAACCAACACAGACATCCAGCTAAGTATAAATATAAATATAAATATAAATATAAATATAAATGTAAATGTAAATGTAAATATAAATATAAATATAAAACACTTGGGAAGAATATGCAGAGCAAACTTTGTTCCCCTGGCAGTGCAAACACATCCAAGCATTTCGCATTTAGTGCCACACAATTTCTTTGGTGGATTGAGGAGAACTTCCTCAGGGTCCCAATTGGTGAATTGTCCGAATTCGAGGAGCTCCTGGAGCACAAGTGTCCCAAACGCACTCGGCACTGCCAGGCAAGCGTCACGTTCCACTTTCACGTGGTTCCACCTGCCAGGAAGAAACCTCGGGGTTTCTTCCCGCTCTGTTCACTTCATCGAAATCCAGTAAAGGAATTAAATGAAGCGACACTATTATATACTGTTACCTAGATCTTGACCTAGTAATTGATTTGATATCCTTCTTGTCATCCTCTAGTTTCTTGTCCTCGGCAGACTTGGTGTCCTGGAGGTTTTCGTCTCCCTCGTCGTCGGACTTGATCTCGGAGCTGCCGGACGAGACGCTCTGTCCTTGCAGGCCGGTGGGAATGCCTAGGAGCAAAGGCAGGGTGAGCGGCACCGGGACGTGCCCTGGGCTCCATGTCCCCAACAGGGGACACGAGGACATGCCCAGGAGCAAAGGCACCGTGAGCGGCACCGGGATGTGCCCTGGGCTCCATGTCCCCAGTAGGGGACACGGGGACATGCCCAGGAGCAAAGACACCGTGAGCGGCACTGGGAAGTGCCCTGGGCTCCATGTCCCCAGCGGGGGACACGGGGAGGACGTGGGCAGCTCTCGCCTGTGGCTTTTGAGCTTTGAGGTCCCCCCATGCCCTTTTGGGGACAATGGTGGCTCTAAACGGCCCCGAGTTCCTGCAGCAAAGTGTCACTGTGGCGCGTGGCGGTGGCCTTGGGGACTGCCGAGGAGGTCACGGCCAGAGAATAAAGGAAAATGAGACTAAATGTAAAAAATAAGAATGAAGGAAAATAGCGAAGTGAAAAAAATATATAAAATTAAATAATAAATAAAATAAAATAAAATAAAATAAAATAAAATAAAATAAAATAAAATAAAATAAAATAAAATAAAATAAAATAAAATAAAATAAAATAAAATAAAATAA